TAATAAATTACTCAGTAAATTACTCATTAAATTCTCAATAAATTACTCAGTACATTGCTCAGAAAATTCTCAGTACATTACTTAGTAAATTACTTACTAGATTCTAAGTGAAGTCCCTGTAAATTCTCTATAAATTACTGAGTAAACCAACACTATCCGGTTTAGAGGTACATCCCCCATCTTCCCCTAAATCGCGGAGTACATCCCCCATCTCCTCCTCTACACATAACGTATACAAACACATTGGTTCTATATACAATCACTCAATACATACAGTTAATGTATTCTATCAACCGTCAAATTCCATGACATATTCCATCGATTAGTTTCCGTTTGCCTAATCATCATGCATTGTCTACAACAATCACGACTATCCTCCACCGATAGCCTAAAGCAGTTATTTCTAAACAGAAAATAAATGCACAAATGGATATTCAATCAACATTTCAATTCGGTGTGTGATAAACAATTCAACTACTCCCTTTAACCCCATGCACTCCCAATCTCAACAATTCCATTTCATTTCCTCATTTCTCACAATTAATTATCCCAATTAATCAATCAATGTAATTAGGTCATTTTCCATAATTAACATTACAACCCTTAGGTCCCATTTTCATCAATGATTCAACATTTATTCCATTCCTCTATACCAAACATGCATCTGGGTTTATTGTAAATAAAACCCCAACTTTTGTAAAATAATACAAAAGTCCCAAACTTGCACAAAATTACCAAACCGACCCCAACATCTCAAAATACCAAAATTTAAAGACAAAATCCATAGAAAGGAGTAGGATATCCCTACCTCAAATCCGGAGCCCCAAGGGAGAAGATGACAAAACCCAACGTGCTCCAAATCCTGAAATTTTCAGATTAAAATGTAGCCCTCGACGATCAACAACTTTTTTGTAAAGGCCAAAGATGAGCAAATCACTCCTACTAGATCAAAACCTAGAGAGAAGGTAGAGTTCTAGAGTGAGAGGCTCAACAATGGTGTTTTTTGGAAAAGTAGGAGAGAGAAGAGAAAGTGAAAAAGTGATTTGAAAAGTCAAAACTCGGAACTTAAACCCAGTCGCCCCGCTCGAGCGTCAAACAACCCGCTCGAGCGTCACTCACAGACTCCTGCTCGAGCGTCAACCATCTCGCTCGAGCGGCGGATGCACACTCCCAGAACTTTTACAGAACCAGGTCTCCGCTCGAGCTTCCAACTTCCCGCTCGAGCGTCACTCACACAATCCCGCTCGAGCGGCCAATCCCACGCTCGAGCATCCAACTCTGCACAGGAAATACTGGATGGGGGCAATTCCCGCTCGAGCGCCAAAACCCCCGCTCGAGCGGACAGGTCAAAATCTGGGCAACTAGTTTTGGTTTCTAAACTCAACCAACCAGTAACAAACCTGCCCAAGACATCCTATAACTCAAATACGAAGTAAAAAGGATGTAAACAACATAATAATCAACTACCAACATCCACGGACACATGTCCGGGTCACTGTACAACAAGGGTAAATTCGGGATCGCTATAGAGAAAGAGCTAGAAAACAAAGACAAGAAGAAGAAAGGTTTCCCTCAAATCATATGGCTCAAAGATCAGTGGAAAAAGGCGAATACACACTCCCAGAACTTTTACAAAACCAGGTCTCCGCTCGAGCTTCCAACTCCCCGCTCGAGCGGCACTCACATAACCCCGCTCGAGCGGCCCACCCCACGCTCGAGCGTCCAACACTGCACAGGAAATACTGGATGGGTGCAATTCCCGCTCGAGCGCCAAAACCCCCGCTCGAGCGGACAGGCCAAAATCTGGGCAACTAGTTTTGGTTTCTAAACTCAACCAACCTGTAACAAACCTGCCCAACACATCCTATAACTCAAATCCGAAGTAAAAAGGATGTAAACAAGATAATAATCAACTACCAACATCCACGGACACATGTCCGGATCACTGTACAACAAGGGTAAACCCGGGATCGCTATAGTCTGCATATAAGTACATAATCACTTGTAAATTGTATGTAAGATCGGATTGCACTCTGACTCTGGCTCGACCCACCAGACACGAACCCCACTCTCACTCGAGCGACAAACTCCTCGCTCGAGCGAAGGTCTAAAATTCTAGGCAGCAACACTAGGCTCCCGAACGCAACCATCCTGTAACGAACCTACCTAACACATCCTATAACTCAAATATGAAGAAAAAAGAATGTAAACACGATAATAACCAACTACCAACATCCACGGACACATGTCCGGATCACTGTACAACAAGGGTAAACCCGGGATCGCTATAGAGAGCACTTATGAATACCGTTTTATTTAAATATTTTAATGGCCCAGAAGAAATCTATGGAGGCCATGCTCAGGGCAAAGCATGCTGCAGTAGAGAGAGCACTTATGAATACCGTTTTATTTATATATTTTGATGGCCCAATTCAGGTCCAAATTAGAGCCACAATTATAAAATTATGAATCGTACTGTGAAGTATTATTTATCTTTGCTAGAAATTGGGCACCAATGTGGCATGACCCGTGACCCTTTTGAACCTTATCTATGTAAGTTTTGAATTTGACTTCAAAACCTATTTGGATAACCCATTCTTGATATCTATATCTATCGATAGGATACGCTACATTATCACGAAATGGGTTCGGGGATGCTACTCTGAATTCCTCACAGTAGCACCTATTGTGATTCAATACTGTGTCGTTTTGTTGGATCAATTTGAATTCTCACTTTGCTGTTTCAATTTTTAATTGCTTTTTTCTCTCAAAATCATAGTTTATTTTTTCTCCTTTTAATTCCCATGCTCCATATATATCTACACGCATATGAGCAAAACCCAAATAAAAATTATTATAAAATTTTTATATAGATTGATATAATTTATTGTGAATTTTTTATTTTAAAAGGAACACTTATGAATATCATTTTATTTATATATTTTAATGGTCCAATTCAGGTTCAAATTAGAACCACAACTATAAAATTACGAATCGTACTGTGAAGTATTATTTATCTTTGTTAGAAATTGGGCATATTTATATTTGTTGAGAAAATGTAAGGAAAATGAAGGAGCTTTAGAAAGTGTAATTTTCCTTCATTTTCTCAGAAGCTTAACCCTGATTGATGGTTTAGAGTGGATGATTCTTGGTTTAGGTTTCCCCCTAAATTTTCCTACATTTTCTTGAAAACAGAACAGAGAGAAAGAGCTAGAAAAGAAAGACAAGAAGAAGAAAGGTGCCCCTCAAATCATACGACTCAAACATCAGTGGAGAAAGAGCAAGAAAGAAAAGGATCAACAACCAATGTCTCCGTTTTTGGCGTTCACAACTGAGGCCATGAGGCTGTTGGAGGAAGAGAAGCATCTTCATTTGCAAAAGTAAATTCAGTAATTTTCTCTATATTTCTCTCTCCCCTCTTCTTCTTCTTCTCTCTCTCTAATCTTTGTCTCATTTAATTTCTACCAGAAAAAAAAGAATCCATTCAAACTGAAGGCATCTATGGAGGAGAAGACATCTATGGAGGCCAGGCTCAGGGCAAAGCATGCAGCAGTAGAGAGAGCACTTATGAATATCGTTTTGTTTATGTATTTTAATGGTCAAATTCGGGTTCAAATTAGAACCACAAATATAAAATTACGAATCGCACTGTGAAGTATTATTTATCTTTGTTAGAAATTGGGCATGTTTATCTTTGTTGAGAAAATACAGGGAAAATGAAAGAGCTTTAGAAAGGGTAACTTTCCTACATTTTTCTCAGAAACTGAACCCAGATTGATGGTTTAGAGTTGACGATTCTTGGTTTAGTTTTCCCCCTAAATTTTCGTACATTTTCTTGAAAACAGAACAGAGAGAAAGACCTAGAAAAGAAGGACAAGAAGAAGAAAGGTTTCCCTCAAATCATATGGCTCAAAGATCAGTGGAGAAAGAGCAAGAAAGAAAAGGATCAGCAACCAATGTCTCCGTTTTCGGCGTCCACAACTGAGGCCGTGAGGGTATTGGAGGAAGAGCACCATCTTCAGTTGCAAAAAGTAAATTCAGTAATTTTCTCTATATTTCTCTCTCTCCCCCCTTCTTTTTCTTCTCTCTCTCTAATCGTTGCCTCAATTTATTTCGACCAGAAAAAAAAGGATCCATCGAAACCGAAGACAACTATGGAGGAGAAGACATCTATGGAGGCCAGGCTCGGGGCAAAGCATGCTGCAGTAGAGAGAACACTTATGAATACTGTTTTATTTATATATTTTAATGGTCCAATTCAGGTTCAAATTAGAACCACAACTATAAAATTATGAATCGTACTGTGAAGTACTGTTTATCTTTGTTAGAAATTGGGCACCAATGTGGCATGACCTTTGACCCTTTTGAACCTTATCTATGTATGTTTTGAATTTGAATTCAAAACCTATTTGGATAACCCATTCTTGATATCTATATCTATCGATAGGATATGCTACATTATCACGAAATGGGTTCGGGGATGCTGCTCCGAATTCCTCACAGTAGCACCTGTTGCGATTCAATACTGTGTCGTTTTGTTGGATCAATTTGAATTCTCACTTTGCTGTTTCAATTTTTAATTGTTTTTTTCTCTCAAAATCAAAGTTTATTTCCTTTTCTCCTTTTAATTCCCATGCTCCATATATATACACGCATATGAGCAATACTCAAATAAAAATTATTATAAAATTTTTATATAGATTGATATAATTTATTGTGAATTTTTTATTTTAAAAGGAACACTTATGAATATCATTTTATTTATATATTTTAATGGTCCAATTCAGGTTCAAATTAGAACCACAACTATAAAATTACGAATCGTACTGTAAAGTATTATTTATCTTTGTTAGAAATTGGGCTTATTTATATTTGATGAGAAAATGTAAGGAAAATGAAGGAGCTTTAGAAAGGGTAATTTTCCTTCATTTTCTCAGAAACTTAACCCTGATTGATGGTTTAGAGTCGATGATTCCTGGTTTAGTTTCCCCTCTAAATTTTTCTACATTTTCTTGAAAGCAGAACAGATAGAAAGAGCTAGAAAACAAAGACAATAAGAAGAAAGGTTTCTCTCAAATCATATGGCTCATAGATCAGTGGAGAAAGAGCAAGAAAGAAAAGGATCAGCAACCAATGTCTCCGTTTTGGGTGTTCACAACTGAGGCCATGAGGCTGTTGTAGAAAGAGCAGCATCTTCAGTTGCAAAAGTAAATTCAGTAATTTTCTCTATATTTCCCTCTCCCCCCTTATTCTTTTTCTCTCTCTCTATAATCTTTGTTTCATTTAATTTCTACCAGAAAAAAAGGATCGATCGAAACCGAAGACATCTATGGAGGAGAAGACATCTATGGAGTCCAGGCTCAGGGCAAAGCATGCTACAGTAGAGAGAGCAGTTATGAATGACATTTTATTTATATATTTTAATGGTCCAATTCAGGTTCAAATTAGAACCACAACTATAAAATTATGAATCGTACTGTGAAGTATTATTTATCTTTGTTAGAAATTGGGCACCAATGTGGCATGGCCTTTGACCCTATTGAACCATATCTATGTAAGTTTTGAATTTGAATTCAAAACCTATTTCGATAACCCATTCTTGATATCTATATCTATCGATAGGATATGCTACATTATCACGAAATGGGTTCGGGGATGCTGCTCCGAATTCCTCATAGTAGCACCTGTGGTGATTCAATACTGTGTCGTTTTGTTGGATCAATTTGAATTCTCACTTTGCTGTTTCAATTTTTAATTGCTTTTTTTCTCTCAAAATCATAGTTTATTTATTTTTCTCCTTTTAATTCCCATGCTCCATATATATACACGCATATGAGAAATACTCAAATAAAAATTTTTATAAAATTTTTATGTAGATTGATATAATTTATTGTGAATTTTTTATTTTAAAAGGAACACTTATGAATATCATTTTATTTATATATTTTAATGGTCCAATTCAGGTTCAAATTAGAACCACAACTATAAAATTACGAATCGTACTGTGAAGTATTATTTATCTTTGTTACAAATTGTGCTTATTTATATTTGTTGAGAAAATGTCGGGAAAATGAAGGAGCTTTAGAAAGGGTAATTTTCCTTCATTTTCTCAGAAGCTAAACCCTGATTGATGGTTTAGAGTTGATGATTCTTGGTTTAGTTTTCCCCCTAAATTTTCCAACATTTTCTGGAAAACAGAATAGAGAGAAAGAGCTAGAAAAGAAAGACAAGAAGAAGAAAGGTTTCCCTCATATCATATGGCTCAAAGATTAGTGGAGAAAGAGCGAGAAAGAAAAGGATCAATAACCAATGTCTCCGTTTTTGGCGTTCACAACTGAGGCCATGAGGCTGTTGGAGGAAGAGCAGCATCTTCAGTTGCAAAAGTAAATTCAGTAAATTTCTCTATATTTCTCTCTCCCCCCTTCTTCTTCTTCACTCTCTCTAATCTTTGTCTTATTTAATTTCTACCAGCAAAAGAAGGATCCATCGAAACCGAAGATATCTATGGAGGAGAAGACATTTATGGAGGCAAGGCTCAGGGCAAAGCATGCAGCAGTAGAGAGAGCACTTATGAATATCGTTTTATCTATATATATTAATGGTCTAATTCAGGTTCAAATTAGAACCACAAATATAAAATTATGAATCGCACTGTGAAGTATTATTTATCTTTGTTAGAAAGAACCACAACTATAAAATTACGAATCGTACTGTGAAGTATTATTTATCTTTGTTAGAAATTGGGCTTATTTATATTTGTTGAGAAAATGTTCATTTTCTCAGAAGCTTAACCCTGATTGATGGTTTAGAGTTGATGATTCCTGGTTTAGTTTTCCCCCTAAATTTTCCTACATTTTCTAGAAAACAGAACAGAGAGAAAGAGCTAGAAAAGAAAGACAAGAAGAAGAAAGGTTTCCCTCAAATCATATGGCTCAAAGATCAGTTTCCCTCAAATCATATGGCTCAAAGATCAGTGGAGAAAGAGCAAGAACGAAAAGGATCAGCAACCAACGTCTCCGTTTTTGGCGTTCACAACTGAGGCCGTGAGGCTATTGGAGGAAGAGCAGCATCGTCAGTTGCAAAAGTAAATTCAGTAATTTTCTCTATATTTCTCTCTCCACCCTTCTTCTTCTTTTCTCTCTCTAATCTTTGTCTCAATTTATTTCGACCAGAAAAAAAAGGATCCATCGAAACCGAAGACAACTATGGAGGAGAAGACATCTATGGAGGCTAGGCTCAGGGCAAAACATGCTGCAGTGGAGAGAACACTTATGAATACCATTTTATTTATATATTTTAATGGCCGAATTCAGGTTCAAATTAGAACCACAACTATAAAATTATGAATCGTACTGTGAAGTATTATTTATCTTTGTTAGAAATTGGGCACCAATGTGGCATGACCTTTGACCCTTTTGAACCTTATCTATGTAAGTTTTAAATTTGAATTCAAAACCTATTTGGATAACCCATTCTTGATATCTATATCTATCGATAGGACATGCTACATTATCACGAAATGGGTTCGGGGATGCTGCTATGATTCCTCACAGTAGCACCTATTGTGATTCAATACTGTGTCGTTTTCTTGGATCAATTTGAATTCTCACTTTGCTATTTCAATTTTTAATTGCTTTTTTCTCTCAAAATCATTGTTTATTTCTTTTTCTCCTTTTGATTCCCATGCTCCATATATATACACGCATATGAGCAATACTCAAATAAAAATTATTAAAATTTTTTTATATAGATTGATATAATTTATTGTGAATTTTTTATTTAAAAAGAACACTTATGAATATCATTTTATTTATATATTTTAATTGTCCAATTCAGGTTCAAATTAGAACCACAACTTAAAATTACGAATCGTACTGTGAAGTATTATTTATCTTTGTCAGAAATTGGGCTGATTTATATTTGTTGAGAAAATGTAGGGTAAATGAAGGAGCTTTAGCAAGGGTAATTTTCTTTCATTTTCTCAGAAGCTTAACCCTGATTGATGGTTTAGAGTTGATGATTCTTGGTTTAGTATTCCCCCTAAATTTTCCTACATTTTCTTGAAAACAGAACAGAGAGAAAGAGCTAAAAAAGAAAGACAAGAAGAAGAAAGGTTTCCCTCAAATCATATGGCTCATAGATCAGTGGAGAAAGAGCAAGAAAGAAAAGGATCAGCAACCAATGTCTCCGTTTTTGGCGTCCACAACTAAGGCCATGAGGCTGTTGGAGGAAGAGCAGCATCATCAGTTGCAAAGGTAAATTCAGTAATTTTCTCTATATTTATCTCTCCCCCCTTCTTCTTCTTCTCTCTCTCTAATCTTTGTCTCTTTTAATTTCTACCAGAAAAAAAAGGATCCATCGAAACCGAAGACATCTATGGAGGAGAAGACATCTATGGAGGCCAGGCTGAGGGCAAAGCATGCTGCAGTAGAGAGAGCAGTTATGAATACCATTT